GAGAAGAAGGTCCACACTTTTATGAACATGTCTTTAATTTTAGATGTTGAAACACACAACAGCTTTACTTGTTCTTCCTCATTTATAATAAATGCTTAGGACAAATACGCACTTTAAGTATGAGTTGTGATGGGCTTGAAATATTGAACGGAACAACCAGTTGTACATATAAAGTAACAGTAAAATTTTGATAGCTGAACTAAAACTTGCTGAATTTAGGACCAAGTCTGTTTAACGAACGTCACCAAACTGCCCAACTTATTTTAACGTACTTCCTTATTCGTTTACCTTTTTTCCCGTTTAAAATCCATATTAAAAATTAAAAGGGTTAGAACTGGCAAAAAATTGGGAGAAAACTGACTGAAGAAATCAAATAAACTGAAAGATGAAGGAGGAAGAAAAGCAAAACAAAAAATATATATACACAAGTATAAGTGAATAAAATAAGTGAAAGACTAGAATAACTTCTGAATGATAAGCCAATTGGGGTACAAAGAAATTACCTAGGGTCAACAAATTATCTTGATGGTACTTGTCCACAATTGGAAATAGATTTTAAATAAATAGATCCACAGTATTGTACTGATAACGGTAATAACAACGAAATCTAGAAGACCGATAACAATAACAACAACAATATCAACAAAAGCAAGAAAACGAAATATTATTATAGGCGGCTGCAGTTAAACAGACGATTCAGTACCATTTGAGAAATCTTAAGTGATGGTTTTTTGGTAAAATCTATAGAGATACCATCGACTATAAGTCATAACATTAAGTGGTATGTTTCTTTTTTTTTTTTTTTGCTACATCTGGTCAGTTGAGATCACAATTTGTTTACCGTTGTTCTGCTTATAAACAATCGGTCCCAATAACTTTTTGGCAAAATCGATTCGCAATCTTGACAGCCTTACCAGTAAGGCACTTATAATGATCGCTGTTGTCAAACGATGCTACCCAGTCAATCAAAAAGTCTCTGAAAATTTCTGAGCCTGATCTACTTCCACTGCTTGCTTGATTGCACCAGTAAAGGTACCATTCACACAGGTCATAGTATTCTGGCCTAAAATAAATTTTAATTTATGAAGTTGTAGGAAGAATAATAATTACTTCGAGGGGAATGTAGAAGTATATAGTACAGGTCATATAAGTAAAGACATTTTTGTTGATAACGTAACAACTTTTGTCCTTTCTTATTTGCTACAACAAGTTATTGCTTAATTTTATCAACCAGATAATTCTAGTGCTTGCTAGACAAGATACACAAAGAGTTTGCCACTGACAGAGTAGCGGAAACTCAGAGACGAGCAAATATAAAAAATTTCATACTTTTAGTTTAATCAAAGCTCCTTTTTCAAGTCCTGGAAGAAGAATAAAAAAGAATATCTCGTCAGTATTTAGTCCAACAGAGAGAAATGCATTTGGATAATTTTTGAATGCTCCTGCATCCCTTCTATCAATACAAAGAAAACCCTTTCTGTGTCTGTGACTCAGAAAAAAAGTTGGGAAAGGACCTATCTCTTGAGTGTCCAAAGTAATGGAAAATACTAACCTTCTGTAAACCATCTGTATAAATTTTTTCCTCAATGTCTCCCCATTTCTGACGAGACCTTTGGAATTGAAATAACAGAAATCAGCAACTAATTGTGCTCTTTGTACAATTCCATACTTTTCGGGTTCGTTCTCTAGTCTCTTCTGTATTGCTGACCAAAGTTCGCTATCGTAATTGACACGATAGAACGCCAAGAAACCTAAAATACCATTCAAGCAGATAACGGTAGAAAACTGAGAAGACTACTTCATTAGACGATAAAGCGGTTGTTGACAGATTTGAATAAATAAACCTGGGTTAAGTAAAGCAGAACTTGAAACAGCAACTGTTTTTGTGGCAACAGTCATTATTTCAGACATATGGGGATGATTTTCAAAGTTAACATATAAAGGCCAAAGTTCTCGCAGCGTGGAACCTAGCAGCTGTGTAATTCTGACACCTGATGAGGTCTTTTCATACAATAATGATGGAAACCCTTTGCTTTTAGCCCAAAATTCATAAACCTAAATGAAAGCATATAAATAATAATTATATATCCAATATTTTCTGTAAGTTGCTAATCCTAAAACAATTAATTAACGATAATTAGCTCTTATTTTAGTCAGACCTGTTCTAAATTGAAAATTCGGTCTACAGTGACGTTAGCGAAAGCTTTGCTAAAATCATGAATCTGGAAGTTGGAAAATCTGTGATCGCGAATTAATTGTCGCACAGTATTCATCATTTGAGGTTCACCAATTATTGCTTCTAATGTCTCCAAATGAATTACTCCTTTGAGGTAACACTGACGACCAATCTGAATTTTAATTAAATTTAGTCATAATTTTTAGAATACGTTTGGTCACAAACAAAATTTTTTGCACCATCAAACTGTGAAGTTTCAGAGATGCTTTTGATTACATGTTAGTGTCGGCTACTTAT